GATATGGTGCAAGGATAGAAGCAATATTTTTCTTTGAAAAAGTAGGTCCGGATAACGGAAAAGTACCTAGAAAACTCCTAAAAAAGCAATTTTAAAGATTTTGCTAGGAAACTTGAGAAGAAAAGTTTTCAAAAGGAAATTTTTGACGTTCCAAATATCCACCAGCATTTTGAAGAAAAGAATAACAGAATACTCCCAAATTCAGTTTTTCACCACAGTGCCAAAAGCCAGATTTCGTAAATTGCGGTTCCTTACATTGTAGGATGAAGGCGTAGTAACCGTGTGCAAAATAAACTCGTCTTCGGTGCAGACTGGGTGGGTATTAGCGTTGCTGGCAGTTCATGACCTCTCATCATTTCTGTTAACTACGTGGCGGCAAATCTTTCGGAATATGTAAGCTCCGCTCCCGATGGTGCTACTGATAGAGGAAGCCTTCCAAACAGTATCTCCTGTATACAAAATTTGGCAAACTCTGAGTTATCCATATATATATTGTAGTACCTAAGTGCAGTGATCAGTCCCAACCACGGTTAGCTTTGCTTTGTGAATTAGCTACCTCTTTTTGCGCTCGGTACAAAGCAGTATTTTCATATCCATACCCTGATACACAGAGTCATGTACACAACTGACCTTAACTCTGAGCGGCACAAGACAACGCAGTTAATTTGAAAAAAAAAAAACGAAAATCATCATCGATTATTGGGTGTTAGGGTGTTATGAATGAAGCAATTATGGTTAGTAATATTTCAAACCTCCATCAAAACTGAAAATTGCATTTTTACAGCCTTTTTAGTGCAAAAAATACAATTTATGTGATTGTCCCTGAAAAATGAACAACGTCTTCCAGTTGATCTCTTTTTAAACTACGAATGAGTTTCAAAAATACGAGACACTGCAGTTGAATTCTGCGCAAAGAGTCGAGCACAAAAACGCTGAGTTTATCTTGTTGAGGAGAATTTTTCAACTCAAACATTTGCCAATGCTCCTGATCGTCTCATGACACTTAGATTGACATATAATGTTGCGGTTTCGTTTAAATCTCGCAAAGATCTCCGACTGAGCCAAATCGGCTCTCGTCTCTCTCCTCTACTTGCCTGCGCCTCCATGTGCTGCGCCTTACCTCGCTATCACAAAGGCGGGCGCACGACGTTTGGCTTTGGTGCCCCCCGAATATTTTTGGTAAACTGTTATCACATCGTAGTTCTCAATCTCTAATTTCTACCATCTAGGATGGTGCTTAGTTGACCCAGAGAAGGAATACAACTATGGTCCAATTTGGTCATAGCGGATCGTATATAGTTGACTGCCGGAATCGCCCGGAAAGAGCACCCGCACGCGTGTCTCTTGCGGGCTAACGTTGGGATTCGCGCGCATGAGTCATCATAGCGCTCGTACTCGGCAGCCGCGTTGCAGGCACGCTCGCGTGCGTTCAGCCTACAACAGCCCGGGCAATTTCGTGCAGGCGGCTTTACCACTACGCACTCTAGTGGCTAAAAAACAAGGTTTTCTGAAAAAAACTTTTGGAAGAGATTCACAATGAAACCCGAAATGGGATATATACCGTAAGGATTGCCCTAATGGCGCGTTTTTCAGCGGGTTTCGAGCAGCAATTTCGCGCGCGGTAATAGTATGCACTTTCGCTCGTTAATTTAACAAAGGGAAGTCTTTGCGGAATATCTATATTCAGGAATGATATCCACGAAAGTCCACGCGAAACGGGCTTTCCATGCTAATAAAATGGACTTAGTCCATGCGATGCGATAAGATATCGCATTCGCGAATAGTCCATGCGATGCGATAAGATATCGCATTCGCGAATTCATTCATGTCATACTATTAGGTTGATGCATAATTCCTGCACCAAGATTGGTACAGACCGCAATAATCCGGAATAATTCTATATCCCAAATAGGATTCCGTATCATTAGATAAAGCAAACCTAGCATTACAAGAGTGTTTAGATTTGCAGCAGCTAAGCGAAGATTGAAGTCAAAAACGAAAAAGGTCCAAGCGCCACAAAAACCCAAGAAAAAATTGAAAGTCCGTTAAGAAAAATCCTTCAAAATTCCTAACATTCTCATGCATTGTCATTTCGCATAAGACATTTCTCTATGCAGTTGCTGTATTTTTCTGTTAGCTAGAAACTGAGAAACGAAGTTTTTCATGTTTTTAGCAAATTAGGCTGAGATGTTCTAGCACTGACAGTTGTATACTATAGGACCTTAGAAGCGTGAGTGTGAATTTTCAGCGCTTTACAGCAGCTGGTTTACGAGAAATATCGAATTTTTAGCAACTAGGCAAGAAAAATCCGGATAAGGAGAGCTAGATTCGTCATTTTTTGCGAACTAGCATTTCTATAAGGCTGAAAATGTAAAGTTTCACTGCTAACGGCTGTATTATACAACTGTTAGTGCTAGAACACCTCAGCATTAATTTGGCAAAAACCTGCAACCGCAGTGATAATTGTCTTACGTGGAATGTCTACGCGTGAGCAAGTAAGAAATTTTGTAGGAGCTTTTTGAACGAAGTTACAATACTGTTTTGATTGGTCTTAAGGTTTTCGGGCGCTTGGTTTTCAATTTTCGGCTCAAAAATCAAAGCTGGTGCAGATATTTGAGCACTATCTTGTAGAGCTAGGTTTGCGCTATCTAATGATTTATCGAATTCTATTTGGAATAAAGGATTATTATGGATTATTGCGGTCTGTACCTATTTTGGTGCAGGAAGTATGCATCAACCTAATAAAATGCAAACCTTTCTCTAATTTGCCTCAACCTGTTTACTCACTCTTGCAAACTCAATTCCACCAAATGGTCGGTGTCTAACTAGGGCTGACTAACATCACCATGACAGTTACATGGATGTTTTATGCCATTCATTATCTAATACTATGCATCTAAATACCTCTATTCAACTAAAATACATGTAACATCCGAGCTTTCGTTTTATAAGACTTCTATGAATCTACATAAAATTAAATCCATATGCAGAGCTTTCTGCAGAAAGCAAACTTCGGCTAGACTTGCACTGCAATCTGAGATTCAAAATGCTTCCCTTATAGGAAACCTCGATTACATACAAACCAAAGTTTTTAAGTCGGAAAAACTAACGAATCTGCAAAAAGCTGACTTCACAAATGCTAAAGCTCTTCTTTCCCTTTTAGCACTAATGTTTCCACCTCTAAGTACCCTAATTTCACGCGTATAATGCGCGGGGATTTTTTTCCAAAATCGACCAGCCCAGACAAGCCGAAGGACTTTACAACCAAAGGACCTTATAACGCGTTGTACATTGCTTGAGAGAATCGTGCGATATGAGGATTTTCTTCCGGAATGCAGTAAAGCGGCTGAGTGGTCTTGAAAATTTGAAAAAGTGCGCCTTATACGCGTGAAATTAGGGTAGTTGAACAACTTGAACCTATATTTTGATTTCATGTGGCGCCAATTTTTGACATTTTGTAGTAATCCGAAAACTAACTTTATATAGACGGGGCATATTTTTCTCCGCCTTACTTGAGGATTAGAGACATCTAAACACTGTACCATTTGATTCAACTGGCTTGGCATCGGCAAAGGCGGGGCTTCGTGACCTAATTAAGGCTAGGTAATGAGAGAGAACTCGCGCGAGAGAGACGCAGGTGCGTCGCGGGCGCGAGCGGCCTCAATCAGATCACAAAACCCCGCCCTAATGGTGCCAAGCCAGTTGAATCAAAGGTTAATTTTTCGGCATCTGCATCGAGTATATCGTGAGAAGAATTAGTGGTTTATACAAAACTCTAAACTTGCAAAATTCATTTATACAAAACTCTAAACTTGCAAAATTCAAAGTCATGGGGCGTGCAAAGTATTTCTTATCCGTATTCATTAGTTATCAGTATTTCTTGAGACCAAATTGAAAATCACGAACTTTGAAGTGCCGTCGATGGTGGTCGGTTTTACGAGATTAGTCAAGCGATAACTTCTGAGTAACTATCTTGAAACCTTTTTTTTCAATACAAGTCATAAATTAGTTTTGGTTGATGATTTCAAGAGTTGGCAAACTTCATTTGATTTACATAGGAATTCATCGACATATTTGAAAGCATTTGAGTTTGTTAGTAAATATCTCGGTGATTTCAACCTTCTTCCATGATTTTCATAGCGTCTATATGTGTGTAGAAGGAAACACTCATTCCGTATTTCATAAAAGACAGCTTTTTCCACTCACTTATAAAATTGAAATAGGCTAAGGAACACACTCTCAAAAATTGCATTCAAAAATGTGCGAAAAGGTCAAAAATGGGCTTAGTCCCAGCTCACCTTACTGCTGGAAGTAGAATGGGCTTTCGAGTCCATTTAAAATGGAGGTAAATCCCATTTTGCCCCATTTTTGTATGGACTTTTCGCATTCCTTCGCAAACGTGAGCTCAGGTAGAGTCGAATCATTTTCATTACACCGCTTTGCCTCGTGGTTGCGATGGGATAGAAAATTTTGAATAACGTGAGCGAAAGCAGATTTTTACCACTCTTCACCGCGAACGATAAAATGGGGTATGAAAGTCCATTTTCCTCCATTATGGGCTTTCGTGGGTATTATTCCAGATATCAAATAAGCTCCAATCCCAAAGTTTCGATTGAACCTGAAGTCTGTAGAGTTTGTTAAAGGGGCAAGACTGATGAGTTTTCCTGGAAGACAAAAGCAAACTATTTTACATATAAACTGAAAACATCCGGCGCGATGATGAAAACTATACATCGTCTCCTACCCTGACCCCCCTTTCGCTTTGCAAAGGGCAAGTTGTTGACAGTGTGAGGGCGCGAGACATCACACCCTCTCCCAGAGATTTCGGACAGCGAGATTTGTGTGTATACGATGAACTTCCTTAGAGCAGGGGAGCGCGAAACGAGCGAGTGATTATGAAATCGTGGATTGATCGCCGACGGCAATGCCGAAATGACTGTAGCCGTGACTCATCTTCGTTTCGACAGTGAGCATGTCGTCATCGTAATACAACGCCGGGGCATCGGCGTCGCATCATTTCTGCTATGATATTCTCAGTTCACAATTACAATTTTCATCACCAATCATAATCCTCTAAGCTGCTGTAATAGGTAACCTTTGAATAATTTTTCCAAGAAATAGTCGACAGAGCACAACAGTTTGTGAAATGTTGACAAAAATCTCAATTTGAAGGGCAATTCAACAGCAAAAAAGGAATTTTTCGCAGGCTCTCTCTGTGGCTAGTCAGTTTTTTGAGCGAAAACTTTTGTTCTCCCCCCCCCCCCCCTCCCTTCCCCCCCCCCCCACAAATTGGGAAGGAAAATACTCAATAGAAAGAGGAGGAAAGGCTGCATCGAATGACACCTTATTGTGCTTCTATGTTCTATGGTTCTTGGCATCGTGTATCTGTATTAGTCAGCCGTGTCAGGGAAGCGAGTACGTTGATTTTAATAGGCAACGAAAGCAAGCTGTTTTATTAAATAACTGAGTTCTGGTGGTGGTATTTGAAGGATGAGATATTATTTTGTGTCTATTTATGAAGTTTGATTTTTCGTTTGTCAAGTTTCCTAGAAAGGAGATGTGAACACCGTTTATACTTGTAAGGAAAGCTAACATCTGAATAATCAGCTTCAAACGCTGATTTCAAATGTGCTATTCCTAGCTGCCACGCACCATTCCGAAGCGAGTTATGGGTTTTTTCCTACGCAAAATTGACATACTGCTGAACATGAGAAGACTGCAGAAGACTGCCTGTAGACAAAAAGCTGCAAGAAAAAGATGCTGAGGTATCGAAATAGTAAAAATCCAATCTTTTCTCACTGGAAAAAGCTTACAGGTGTATTAGCGCTTAAATGATGATGACGTGATGCCCCGTGAGTAGATGAGCATGCCAATTTTGCGCAGGAAAAAGTCCATAACTCGCTTCGGAATGGTGCATGGCAGCTAGGAATAGCATATTTGAAATCAGCGCTTTAAGCTGAGACTATATATGTCTCTTGCCAAAAGGCCGTGCTAGGTTAGGCAGCTTCCCTGTTAGATGCAGTCCCAACTAAGCAAATATTAGGCAGCTGCATTAGTTCTGTCCGACTTTTTTGCCCTATGCTTGAAGCAGCTGTTTTAAGAAAATTTCATCTCTAATGCGGTAATGTTAGTATCATTAGAAAGTGTTTTTCTTGCGGTTTCTAATGCATATCAAATTTCAATAAATTTCTTAATGTAAGGAGATTTCAGGCCTAAAATCTCCAAGTGGCCGAAGTACGTTCTCACCCTAGAAATATGTTCTTGCGAGGAAATTTCCACAATGCACCCTTCAGGTCAAGTTTTTCAATTGGTTGCGGAATAAGGGTGTAACAGGCTAGCATACGCATAAGTTCAGTTTCATGAAGAAAAGTCTTGCTAGTAGAATTTATTGTCAAACATTAATTTTCTGTATAGATGTTTTACAAGCAATAACTTTCGGCGAATAGAAGTAATCGACCACTTCAAAGTTGGAGGTGCTAGGTAAAGCAAGGGTTGGCAAGACCATCCACCAATTTCTTTTCGCCGTTTACGTCAATTGTAAAATTTTCATAGTTCGTAAACAGGCATGCACACATGCGCTGAAGCGAGGTCAAAAAGTAGCTCCTTTTTTGTTCGGCCAAAAAAATCTCTCGACAAGCAGACCCTATGGGCTCTTTTATGGTGCAAGATAATCTACGAAAATTTTTTATATATTCATTATTAGACAAGATGCCTATTAATTCTCATGAGGGAGCATTGCCATGTCAAAAAAGACAAAAAGGTTTGAAGAAAAACGCTGCAAAGTTTTTGAATTCTTGCTTCTTCCTCAACAAGGATTTCCGCAGGTTTCAACATGTATCTGTTAGCCAAGGAATTGCTCAACACGTGGTAACTAAGATCTTGGAAAAAAAAATTGACTTTGAAAGAAGTTAGACATTTTAAACTCAAAGAATTCAAATCGGACAAAACTTATGCAGCAACCTAATACTGATGTATCTGCCTCAAACTACTTACAGCTACTCGTAGGGTAGCTAGTCTCAATATCGAATGGTAAGGTCTGTCTATATTGCACACGGTGCACGGTCAGAAAACATCATTTTTCTTTTGAAAACCGAAGAGAATAAAAGTTGCGACGTCGGACGCGTCATTCGCATTGCCGCATTATGTTCATCGTTGTTGGCATTTTTGATTGTATCTCCCGAACGATGAAGGTAGCACAAATCAATAAAATCATCCTGAAGAAGAGGCCTAGGTCTCTAACTTAAAATCTTTGATGTTGCAGAAGTCATTGTAAAAATCAAGAAGACCTTATAAAGCCGCATGCCGCACCATGTGTTATGTTATTATCATCTTATGTTTTAAAACCGACTTTGTATGGAACTCAGATGCGACCAAGATCATGCATTTATGTTGACCCTGTGGATGTGGCGCCTAGTCAAAAAATGCGAAAATGCTTTTAAGACGAAATAAAAGTCATAAGTGAGCTTGGAAAACGATGCAGACAGAAAAATTTTGCTTTACCCACTTTTTTTTATGATTAAGGCATGCATTAGTGTTATATGAGATAACATGCTGAAAATAAGCTTTTCTACAACCTTCTAGATCAGTGGGGTGAACTCACTAGAAAGGGCTCAGAGTTGCTTCATTTAATTGACTACATGCAGTGGCTTCCCCAGGATTTTCGTTTGGGGAGGGGGGGGGGGGGGGGGTGACAGAAATTTGTTCTGGAAAAAGGTGTGATTGCGTAGGCCACGCAATCCGAAATTTTTTTAATGCCTCACAAAATTTTTGAGAGCCCATGACCCCGAAATTTCAGTAAAATGGGGCATTGCGGCAGTCACGCTCGCCAGAAAAATTTTTTTACAAACTTTTCAGTTTTCGAGTTTTCAAAAAATTTCGAAGATTATTCTAATTACTTACAGGTATAAGAAAGTTACTTGCTCATTATTATAACCCACGTAAATGAATTTCAAGAATTTCGCGGCCCATTCTAGGGGGGAAGGCACCCGCCATGGTATCATCGTTCCTTTGAGACAGATTCTAATTGCACGCAGTCAGCCTCAAAGAAATTCTTTGCCTGAGCTAGTGATCTAGTATAGCCCTTGAGGCTGCGTATTTTAATTGCTGTTACATTTCGCTGGAAAAGAAAAATGTATGGAAGTATGTGGTTTACTCTTAGTTAGCATACATTCTCAAAAAAAAAACACTTCCACAAATGTTAACCACCAAACAAAAGCATTGCACCTGAGACTCAATTGGTGTTTCTTCAAGCTTATCTATAATGAGCATATAACATAACATGTGTATAAACGCTAAGTAACAAAACGGTAAATTAGCCTATACAGGTCCCAAAAGAAAGTACACACTTATAAATCGCTAATGGGTAGGGGACTATATGTCGCCGAAAAAGGGCGGTACCCGCGGTCATTTGCGACAAATACGCGCTCTTGTATGTGCGCGGACATGCGTTCCTGCAGGAAATCCGCGCGGGACTCTTCCACATTCGGCGACATATAGTCCTCCACCCATCGCTAGTAACTCTCTTCCCATAAAGTCTTTTGCTTACAAGGGGATGGCCAGAAGTCGAATGGCCGATCCATGCAAGCTGCCCACTATTGGATGCAGCATTATACGCTGACTTCGAATCTGTATTCCATATCTGCTTAGCGCCTTTGGATACGAAGTTGTGAGTTTATTGAGAAAAAACCGTAAATAAAAACTGCGAAATTGAGCACATTGTTGCACTTTCAGCTCACCTTTAGACTTCAAAACAGCTAACTGCATGTTCTAGCCCAGCATTAAGCCGAACATGGTTCTGGTGCCAAATTTGCGCTTTGCATACCCTATTTCCTAACAAAATAACGACTTTTAACGGCTCATAGCTTCGCCCACTTAGGCGCTAAGCAGATATGGAATACAGATCCGAAGTCATCGTCTCATGCCATCTAACGGTATGCAGCCTGTTTGGACTAATCGCTTCAGTTTCTGACCATTCTCTTGTTATCAAATACCCATAATTCAGTCCGTGGTACTCGCTCTCTTCACCGCTAAGGCTATTGAGATGAGCTTGGTTTTAACCCTCTGGTATCGTGATAGTGTTAAGCAGATTGTTAAGTGATATTCCTGTGGCTGATTGGGCGTTTGGGCGGATAAGTCGCAATATTTCCAACCTTTCTAGGCCCTGAAAAAAGCGACGAGGCCGAAACGCAAGCCCGAATAAAGAATTTAACAATCTTGGTGCAAGGCTCTACAATCAATTTAAAGTTACACGTTTCAAATCTATTCGGTAGAGCAGCCTTCAGCTTAGTTTTTTAGTATGAGCGTACTAACTATCGCGATTCGTTATTGTAGATTTGCGGCGAGAACTTCCAACCTATAGCGCTTTTGTAAAATAGGCCGTTTACAAAAAAAAAACAATCTGGGAAGATGTGTAGCAGTGTTTTCAGACACGTTGGCAGTAAACAACTTTTTAAGAGTTGAGCGTTCCAGATGATTTAGTCTAACTGAAAGAACGCTATTACTGTTTACCGGGCATAACACACCAAAAAAACTTACGATAAAGTGCGAATTTTATACTCATAATCAGCACTCAGTCCAGATTAATGACAAAGTTCTCAGCTTGATGTGTATCCATTCTGGGGCAAAGTGCAGCCATTAATGGCTTAAAACCCCCCAAATTTTGTACCGCTTCTTACAATAAAGAAGAGCGATGGGTGAATCGCTCTATACTGTCAATCTAACTAGGGAAGTGTCAGAAGTCGCAGTGGCCTTTTGACATGAGATAGGTCTCATCTAGAAGAGCCTGAAATGCTGATTCCGAAACAGTTAGCTGCAGAACGAATCTGGGTAGAGAGTTATTGGATATAATTTGCCGAAAATTCACAATACTAAGGCAGCCAAAATACCAAAGTCCATACATTTTGGGCACATAGATGAACCAATTTAGCAATGCTTGGTGTAATTTATAATTTGCCGAAAATTCACAATACTAAGGCAGCCAAAATACCAAAGTCCATACATTTTGGGCTCAAACAAAGATGAACCAATTTAGCAATGCTTGGTAGTGCTTAAACAAGCACTTGAACGATTTCCAGGATCCCAGAGTAGTTTAAACAACGTAAAATTAGGTGATTAAAATGCCCATAATTCCGGAGCCAGACTCGTTCTGCAGCTAGAAAAAACTGTTTTGGAATCAGCGTTTCAGGTTGCTTCAGATGATACGTATCTCATACCAAAAGGCCACTGCGACTTTTGACACTTCCCTTGTAAATTGAGGCCTGCTTTACTGAAAGGTACTTAAAGCTAGGCAAAAAACTTCGTGGGAGGGGAGTTATTAAGATTAAAAAGTGTGTATACTTGTTTTTAAGACCCCTGTGCATTGTTATAACACAGGTTAGCAAGCAACACTGAAAAAATTGAGAAATAGCGCGAACTTCCACTGCAAATGTCCTGTTTTGGCCATCCTGTCATCCTCCATTCAAATTCGAGTTGTATGCGAACTGCCGTGATTTTGCACAAGAACACCAATGAAGTAAGTATGACTGTACATTTTAAACGCCCATTAAGATTGGATACACCAAAATTGCATCAGTCATTTTAAACAACTCCTTTAGGAAGAGATGCTGTATCGGAATGCCAGAAAACATCATAGAAGCAGAGTAATGCCGATTTCATTTGGAAACTGCGATATTCTGAAGATGCAGATCCGATGCTTCCGAGTGATGCAAATTTTCTCCATAAAATAATGATTGTTTGCCAAATTCTTTAGATAAAGGTTGTTGAGAAGCATCTAATAAACGTCGCTAAATGTTACACCGCTCAAAACAACATATACTTTTGGCACCCAAGTCTTTGGAGTGTTATCACAGATTATCTTCGTCAGAATTTGGCGAAATATACAAAAGGAGGGATATTTCTTACCATATTTATATTTGAGAATGACCAACCAAGGATACTCGTCTTTACGCACCTTTCTCCCTCCGAACGACTTGTAGTGCGCTCCTTAAATTGGAGTTAGAAGCAAAACTTTCTTACGTATTTTATTGAACTAACTCTTATACTGTAAACTTCCGCAAATTTTTGAAAGCCTCAGGTTTTCTGAATGCAAAATCCGGTAGGAATAAACAGAAAGAACGATAGCAAAATACACCAGTAACTGCATCAGTCAATCTGAAGCAACTCTATTAGGAAGAGATGCTGTATCAGAATGCCAAAAAACATCATAGAAGCAGAGTAATGCCGTGTTTCATTTGAAAAAAAGCTGTGAATATTTTGAAAATACAGATCCGATGCTTCCGAGGATGCAAATTTTCTCCATAAAAACATTGATTGTTTGCCGAATTCTTCAAATAAAGGTTGTTGAATTGCATCTAATCAACGTCGCGAAATGGTACACCGCTTGAAACAGCATATATTTCTTTTGGCACCCAAGTCTTTAAAGTGTTATCATAGAAGATGTTGACGTAGTATCAACCATGCGATTAATTGCTCAAAGCACTTTTTATTCGATCCTTATATGCCGGAGTGCGCAATCGTATCTGATTACTCAAAACTGAATGACGGTTGAGTGCCAGAACTGTAGAAAAGCGATACCACCTGCTGTTAAGCATCTACTTCTTACAAGGGAAGCTTGTTTAGTCGAAGTGGCCTTTCTAAATGAGATGCATACCATATTAAAGGGCATAAAACGCTGACTCCAAATCTGCCTTCCTTATCTGCAGAGCGCTTATGCACGAGAAGTTATGAGCGCTTTTCAAGCTAAAAACTGAACATGCATTTTGGATAAAATGAGTTGCTAAAGTCTTTCTAGCCCTCAAATAATGCAATCAAGTGTGATATATTTTTTACTTGAGAGTATTTCTCAAATAAAGCTCTGATGACTATTATCGCTCCATTAAAGAGGTAGAAAAAGTATCACGGCTATTTTTGTCCCATTTGCACATTCATTTTTTTGCCCCAATAAGCGCTCATAACTCCTCGTCCATAAACGCTCTGCAGATAAGGAAGGCAGATTTAAAATCAGCAATCTATGCTCTTTGATATGGTATACATCCCATCTAAAAAGGCCACTTCGACTAAACACGCGTTCCTTGTTAGAAATTAGCCGGAGTGAGCGGGCATCGGAACAAGAATTATTTTAGGCACAGAGTGCTCTGGTCTCCGAAAAGCGGGCGTGATTTCAAAACACACTGTCGATTTCTTTTGATTAGTCAAAAAGCAGTGATACATATAAAGATAAGCCGCGTTTCCACGCACAAACTGGCAGTAGATTGCAGAGCTGCGCCGCGCTGCCAAAGCTTAAAGGCAGAGTCCATTTAAAATCTGTGCACCCCAGATTTCTACTTATCCTGCTACCAGGCCCTAAAACTAGACCAACCGCGTTGGTCCGGTCCCCTAATGTTGCCTATAAAAGGAGATAACGGCCTGGATCCTTTTTGCGTTCCGCTCCATTTTTTTGCGCTCCTCACACGTCATAGATTACCCCGTGATATTTTGACATGACAAGCAATGTCGAGAAGCATAGTTTGTGATGTGACACTGTTGAACGCGACGAGGTTTTCTGTCGCATACGACGTGGCTACCTTCGGGACACTCGTCCAGGTCTGCCAAAATCGAGCTTCAGAAGGGGCCAATTTTGGAGCTCTCTGGTAGTTTAAACCTCATATCCGAAATCAGCGTTGTGGAAAGGCAGGAAAACAATAAAAACATGGAAGAGGAAATTCTGGGTGGACGCTGCCTTCAAAGGAAGTGTCACACCAAGACTGAGGTCGCGGGGATCTCCACATATTCTACCATAACGTCCGCCAAATAAGCCACTGCAACAAGTTCCATTCAATTTGGCCACCTCTACGCTGAAAAATCGCTAAAAGTGGTACGCAAAGAGCGACTTGGTACGTGCCAGAAAACGGGGTTTTTGAGGACTTCGTGCGGTTTAAGCCCCTACAGTGTTGGACAGGGCCCGATAGGCTGGCGAAATGCAAAAATCTTTTCCCAATTTTTAGCGAGATATTTTCAAAACTAGCACATCATTATCGTACTAGTCGTGCTCGTGACTCGTGGCTAATAAATAAGTTCGGTCGCTTTTTCAGCTCTTGCAAATGCTGTAGACAAATTTTCGTCCAAGTTTGGTATCTCTGAAAAGAGCACTTCACTGGGTATTGGAGCATATATTCTGTTTGAGTAAAACTTATCTTCCCAGGAAAAAATCCGCAAAGAAGTGAAAAATCGCAATTTTCCCATTATGCGCAAATATGAGGAAATTTGGTTTTCTTAGTGAAACATTTTCAAAATGGCAGATCATAGTTCTTTTTGTTGTTCACTAAATAGAGATAACTCCTCTGTATCCAAATACCAAACTGCTGTTCTTTACATCCATTACAGCATAAAAACGAAGCATAAGAAGTCAAAGAATTGAGCTTTTGGAAATTTCGCCATGTTGAGGCATAACTGTCTTTACTGACTATAGAAAATCCTGATTATGTGATATGTGATAGAGGAAGCTTCGATCTACTTTCCCACAAAGAATCAGAGATTGAAGGCAACAAGAAACTTTTTAATGACAATTTGTATGCCAAAACGAACTTACTTTTTCAGCCAACCTAATATTTAAAAAAACGAGTCAGCAAACGGCCTTACAAGTGTGGACGGTTTTTTAGAATTCTGCGAGTGAAGTACTGTTAATCGGCAACGCATATTTTGCCCCCTCAATCTTGGCGGTTTTTTGAATTGTGGGTTAAAAACTGTACTCATCAACTCCGCCTTCCGCGAATTCAAAGACAATATCTAGGCAAATTTGGGAGTTTTACAACTTTGGTGCTTTGCAATGTTGACGCTTTTCTTATACCATCGCCAGTGCTTCGGACTGGCTGCGTGTGTGAAGTGGGACATGACTGTCAAAGTTAGAACTAGAAACCTTTTCTTCCGCAGACATTTAACGAACCCAGAGATTATCAAATTTAAGTGTCAGGGATCTTTCCTGCTTTATGTGGTTTCCTAAGTACTAACAAAAGTGCCAGCAGATATTTAAACGCTTTCTTTCAGCTTTTCAGGTACGTATGCTCTTGTGCTTTGCAAACTTGCGCTTTGCTGCTCTCTCTGACTTCTTTGAGTCAAACTGCATCCCGCTCTCCCCCAATCTCTTTTCACTCAAACCTTCAGATCTTACTCAATCGTTTTGAACTTGCCCCAAAGATGCCGTTGAAAAAACTCGTCGAGCTTACAACTTCACAGTCTGTCCCCTAAATCAGGCCAAAATTGACATGATGCGCTGCGCCCTCAAGATTTCGCGTCATGTCTGCAGTTTGCCAATGGGATTGGGATAGAGGTTATGTTGGGCTCGACAGGCTTTTCCCAGCTATGTACATTCTCTTGACTGTTTTCAACCAGAGTTCTGTTCTCCTCATCGACTGTCCTCCGAACTATTCCAACACTTCACTCTCCTTTAACTTGGATTCGTATGAAAACTTGGGGCGAGATAGGCGACGTTTCCGGTCATGAAAGGGCCGGGAGCACTGTCGAACACCGCTGCGACTCTAGCCAACATTCCAACTTTGAATATAAAATTTTCTAAATCAGAGAGCATCCCTTCCTCTTCGCAAAATAGGCTTTGTTGGAAGCGTGCACAAATTCTTTCCAATTTAAGAATTTTAATGTCAATCCCGTTAGCGTTCTGTATGGGCTATTCAAATTCAACATCTATGAGATCCCATCCAGCTCCACAGTCCACCCCAGCTTCCAATTCATCTTGATAGGCTACTGACTTGATCTATAAAGAGAGCTATTATCAAAGTCCACATCCAAATTCAGCTGTTCATCCAAGCAAATCTTCAGTGTTTATACAATTTTGGGTTGTGCAATGTTTTAACAAAATTGCGCCAGAAACATGTTCCTGAGGTCAGCAAGGGTTGAGTTGATAGTTAGTGAAGCCCTTTCTTGTCATCTCTTTTGTTCACATCTGACAGCAAACAGACAGCATGTAGCTCCAAAATTCTATCACGATCGCAGCGACTTTCATAGTATTTCCGAAATTTTCGGTCTTTTGAGAAAAATCCGAATTTCTGATATTTTTTAGAATAACTTTTCCGAAAGTCCTTAATTGCAAAGTTGTAGAACGCGTACACGCTCCAAATACTAACAAATCTTCGGATTTTAAAGCTCCCAAGATTATTTTCAATCATGCCTTTTCTACAAAGCAGCTTTTACAGTTTGATAACAGTTAGCGACAAAGCGCAATCTAATCCAATGCAGTTTTTGGCGCCCATAGCTGCTCTTCATAATTATATTATTTTTCTGGTCAAATTCCATGTTTGGTCATCTTAAAGCCATTGGAGAACAGCAGCGCACAGCTAGGGTTTCATGTAATGCATCTTTTACTCCCCTTTCTGATAGGCTCGTTTCATCCCAATTCGTGGAGTTTCTGGCAGCAAAAGCATCAGAATCCTTAATTTTGAACCTGCGCTGTACTCTCAAAATGTGAAACGTGATATTTGGAAACGTAGTAAGCGCTTTGCAAGATTAGTGCATAATTGAAGTCGATATTTGAAAGCTTCAAATCGATTCTTGGAAGCTTCACAAAGTTTCTTAGCGTTTGGAGCGTGTATGTTTACGGCTTCGCACTGTTGAAGACCTTTGGAAAATTCTAAAAAATACTGAGAAGTCAGATGCCAAAAAAAACGCATGGGAAAAAAGTTCTGATCCACTAAAATCCGCACTCCGTCTAACTGTTATTAAAGCCTTTTCAAGAAAATTCAAAATGAAGATTTCAAAAATTGCCAAGACTGGACATGGTAAAAACCATAGGTTCGAAATTTGAGCGTTTATTGTTGTAAACACGAAAAATCACTGCTAATAAAATTAACACGAAAAACAACTGCTAATAAGAGGAAGCAAATTGCGTGCTTTTGAAATGTTTACCTACCTTCAATCTAGGCGTTTTCATGATGGATTGAAAAACGGAAAGAACTTTTGGAACTACCTAATATTTTGGAAGACCGAACACGCCTTTGAAAGCTATGCATGTTTCAATTTTTTTGGTGTTTCAATCCAGCTTTGAATACATGAGAACAACTTTGCTACCTTTTTGAATCATTTGGCAATATTCCTACCAAGATTGCCATTTGATTTAACATGTGTCCTTTATCATTAGAAGAATTTCTATTTTCTAAGCGCAATGGTGAGCGGGGGCCTTGATTCCAATACTAT